GCCTCTGACTAATGAAAGAGAGAGAGAGAGATGCTTTTTGCATACTACACATGCAAATAAATGGTATTTGCAACTTGCTTAGAAATATTTTCTGAGGAAGCAAGTCAAAAGTATTTTTTTAAATACAAGGCTATTCTTAAAACAAATGACATAATGAAATACAGAGCGGTATGAGCTGACATTTATAAATGTCAATACTTGTAATTCCTGTATCAATGATTACTCAGCCACAGTGACAGAAATTATAGAGGAATTAGAGTGATCATAGCAGAGATAATCAAACAGGTTAGAGTTACGACGGCAACTTTTCCTGCAGTGTGTATTGAAGCCACAACCCAATAGTTTCGTTTGTGTGTGTGTGTGTGTGTGTGTGTGTGTGTGTGTTGCCAGTCAGGGCCTGGGCACTGTCCCTGAGCCTCTCTGTGCTCAAGGCTAGAATTTGAGCCACAATGCCACTTTCAGCTTTTTTTTTTGGTATGTGGTACTGAGGCATGGAACCCAGGGCTTCATGTATGTAAGACAAGCACTCTACCACTAAGCCACATTCCCAGCCCAACCCAATGCTTTTCCAAGTGATATTTTAGCTCCCTGGAGTTATGGGCATAATAGTTCCGGAGCCATGCCACTGAAATGTGCTTCTCTGGCTTGCTCACTATGAAGAAAGAAATTGTCCCAGTTCCTTGATAAACTGGTCTGACTTTATTTTTAGTGTAAAGGGTCAGCCTCTCAAACCTTCTGAAAAGGAGATGGCTGTATTTAGAGCAAGCTGTGAATGTGGGACCATACAGACACCACCATGGCCGTCTACCAGGCCAGCCAGGCCCCATTCATATAAGAGGAGAGCACTCTACCATTTGGAGCTGTAATCTAGAACACTGTAATGAACAAAAGTTGGTTTTCTAATATGCATGATGTGAAAGTCACTAAAATGCCAATTTTGTACAACTATTAATTTTTTTTTTTTGCCAGTCCTGGGGCTTGTCATGTCCTAGGCACTGTCTCTGAGCTTCTTTTGTTCAAGGCTAGCAGTCTACTATTGGAGCCACACCACCACTTCTGGCTTTTTCTGTGTATGTGGTACTGAGGAATCGAACCCAGGGCTTTGTGCATGCTAGGCGAGACTACCACTGAGCCACATTCCCAGCCCTCATATTGCCTACTTTTTGAACATTGTAATGATGTTAAGAGGTACAGCTAGTGGCTAAACTAGAACTGATTTTTAAATCAGTTTGGCTGAAACCTCAATTGTAATATTCTGAATTAGGTGTTATACAAACTATATGCATTTTTGTCTAAATTCAGGTCTTCAAGGAAGGATTCTTCTCCTATATACTTGCCAAATCTAACTTTCCTACTACATTTATTTTCTTCTTTCTTTCTTTTTGGTGCCAGTTCTGGGGCTCAACCTCAGGATCTTAGTTCCTTAGCTTTTCTGCTCAAGGCTAGCACTCTATCACTTGAGCCACAGTTTTATTTCTGGCTTTTTGCTGGTTAACTGGAAATAAAAATCTCATAGATGGGGCTGGGAATGTGGCTTAGTGGTAGAGTGCTTGTCTAGCATGATGAAGCCCTGGGCTCAATTCCTCAGTACAACATACACAGAAGGAAAAAAAAAATCTCATGGACTTTTTCTTCCCAGGCTGGCTTTGAACCTCTATCCTCAGAACTCAGCTTTCTGAGTTAGTAGGATTACAGGCATTAGCCACCAGCACTGGTTTTGGTTTCTAACTTCTCACCAAAAGATTAAGTTCCAGTCCTGCTGGGCCTCCGAACTTGCATACCTGCAATTAGAACGGACCTGTTCATAACAGCCAATGTTACTGACCATGAGAAAAGACAGAATAAATTTTAGTTCCTCCAGACACTTACTACACTCAAAATCATAACAAGCCAGCAGATTTATATGGTGATTATATGATAACTTTCCACAGCTGACCTTCTCCTCTATACAGCATAAAAACTTACATACGGGGCTGGGAAGGTGGCTCAGAGTAAAGTGCTTGCCTTGCATGCATGAGGCCCTGGGTTTGATTCCTCAGCACCACATAAGCAGAAAAAGCCAGAAATGGCACTGTGGCTCAAGTAGTAGGGCGCTAGCCTTGAGGGGAAGAGCTGAGGGACAGCATCCAGGCCCAGAATTCAGGCCTCACAACGGACACACATGCACATGAATTTACATATACTAGGGAAGAAAAATTATGCAGTGAATCTGCTGACATGTATAATCCATCTCACAGATGCTACCTTATCTCTAGTTAACCAGGAGCATAAAAGAATCATTGCTTTAATGATGAAACATACTATATCTAGACCATTTTGATAAACATTCCATCTGCAAGCTGTTCTCAAATATAACATTGTATATCCAGTAGAGATATATCAATGTGTTTTGTCCACAAACAAAGCTTGCATTGACAAATCTGTGAAAGTTTCAAACCTTTTATCATTAGTGAATGGGAGAAAATGCCTCAGTGAATGGGAGAGAACACATCATTCACAGAATAAACAAAATGGCCAAGATACAAGGATAAAAGAGAAACAAGAAGAATATTACACACATCTCTACACCTCCTAGCCTCAGACGGAAGAATGCTAAGGCATTTAGTAAGTGGACATGGGTGGGAATTGCAAGAAAAGTTATTGAATTTATATTGGTTAAAAGGAGGACTAGGAGCTGGGCTCAGGTGGTTCATGCCTATAATCCTAATTATTCAGGAGCCTGAGATCTGAGGATCACAGTTTGAAGCCAGCCTGGGCAAAAAAGCCCATGAGATTCTTTTTGTTGTTGGTGGTGGTGGTTGTAGGAGTTGACCCAGGGCCTGAGTACTGTCCCTGAGCTATTTTGCTCAAGGCTTAGCACTCTATCACTTTGAACTGCAGTGCCACTTCTAGTTTTTGAGTGGTTAATTAAAGAGTCTCACAAGGACTCAAAAAAAGTTGTGGTTCAAAGCCAGCCCAGTCAGGAAAGTTCATAAGACATCTCCAATTAACCACCAGAAAACTGGAAGTGTTGTGGCTCAAAGTGGTAGAACACTAGCCTTGAGCAAAAATGCTCAGGGACAGCACTGAGGTCTTGAATTCAAGCCACACGACTAAAAAAAAAAAAACTCTCAAGGACTTTCTTGCCCAGGCTGGCTTTGAACCATGATCCTCAGATCTCAGTCTCCTGAGTAGCTAGATAACAGATACAAGTCACCAGGGCTCTGCTTCATGAGATTCTCATCTCCAATTAGCCAGGAAAATGACAAAAGTAGAGTTGTGGTTCAAATGGAAGAGCACCAGCCCTGAGTAAAAAAGCTAAGGGACTGTGCCCAGGTACCACGTTCAAACCATAGTACCAGCACAAAAAGAAAAAAGAAAAGACAACCATTATTACAGCTACAGCATTGTAGGAAAGTCTACTGTGCTCAGAAGCTAAGCTCCAGTGATGTGAGGTCATTTTGATATTTACTTGAATTCTGGGCCTGGGCACTGTCCCTGAACTCTTTTGCTCAAGACTAGTACTCTACCATTTTGTATAAGTACCACGTGCTAACTGATTAGTACTCTACCATTTTGAGCCACAGTGTCACTTCCGTTTTTTTGGTCCTTAGTTGGAGACAAGAGTCTTACAGGGATGGGAAGGTGGCTCAGTGGTAGAGTGCATGCCTTGCAAGCATGAGGCTCTGGGTTCGATTCCTCAGCACCACATAAACAGAAAAAGCCAGAAGTGGCGCTGTGGCTCCAGTGGTAGAGCACTAGCCTTGAGCTGAAGAGCTGAGGGACAGCGCCCAGACCCAGAGTTCAGGCCCCATGACCGACAAAAAAAAAAAAAAAAAAAAAAGAGTCTACAGACTTTCCTGTCCAGGCTGGCTCTGAAATGTGATTCTCAGATCTCAGACTCCTAAGTAGCTAGGATTACAGGTGGGAACTATCAGCACTGGGCTTATTTTGACATTTTATTTATCCATCTTTGAAGATAAAAATGTCTTTAAGAACACAAAGATCATGTTCTAGCTCTAAAGAGAAATCATGTAACTCTTTGTTAGCCATAGAAATAGTTACAGTGCTTTGGGAAACAAAGGCTACCTTCTGAGGAGAGCTGGCAACAAACTGAGAATTTTGGCCAATTTAATAGTCTGAAAACTAAACATCAATTTAATCTAATAACATATCTAATACTGCATTTTCATGGGAAGAAAACTCCCCAACGTGTCCAAGTGTTTCATTGTCAAATAGCTAGTGAGATCCAATATAAACGGAAGCACATGAATGAACACATATTCATTGCACCTATTTATTTATTTATTGTGGATCATTGTGGGGCCTGAACTCTGGGTACTGTCCTTCAGCTCTTCAGCTCAAGGCTAGCCCTCTACCACTTGAACCACAACGCCACTTCTAGCTTTTTCTGCTTAAGTGGTGCTGAGGGCTTGAATCTAGGGCCTCATGCATGCAAGGCAAGCATTGTACCACTGAGCCACCTTCCCAACCCCTCATTTGGCACTTTAAATGCAAAGTTTGCTTTTAATGAAAATGAGTTCTTCTCTGATGGCCTGTCAAAATACTTAGCTAGGCTGGGTGCCGGAGGCTCACACCTGTAATCCTAGCTACTCAGGAGACTGAGATTATGAGGAATGTGGTTCAAAGCCATCCCCAGTAGGAAAGTCTGTGAGACTCTTATCTCTTATCTTAACTAGCAAAAAGCCAGAAGTGGAGGTGTGTTTCAAGCAGTAGAGTGTCAACCATGAGTGAAAAAGCTAAGTAAGAGCATGAGCCCTGAATTCAGTCCCAGTACTGGGGGGGGGGGGGAATAAATTTCCTTTTCTTTTTATTGGTTGGAGACTGGGGAAAAAATAAATTTTCTTTCTTTTTATTGGTTGGAGACTGGGACTTGAACTCAATTGACACTTTCATCCACTGGCTAGCATTCTAACAGATGAGCCATGTCTCCTACCCCCAAAATTAATTTCTTGAAAGGACTATGAGAAACTTAAAAAGCAAACAACTTAGCTATACTCTGCAGTTCTAAGCCATGTCATTTTAATGTGAATTTATTTATGAAGTTCTTCTTTCCTTCACTCATTTTCCCATCTGTCCATTTACAGAGAAGTATCTGAATTCCAGGACTTTGGGTAGAATGATCCATTTTAGAGGTAATGGTGTGAAGACTTGTTTTACTCTAGAAAATTCATTGCTTCTGAGTTGGTTTATCACAATATGGCACATTTTCAACAAGAAGATCTTTCCTGGGGACCAATTCTGGAAGAAAAACAAAATGGATTGTTAAAATGAGAATTCATTGTTTAATCATTGAAGAAGAAGTAAATGCAAATTATACACACTTCCTGAGATTATGAGGTTTAAGGTAAATCTTATTTATTCTAGTTAACATACTAAGGTAGAAAAATGATTCTAAATAGAGACATTTAAGAGGGTTCTCTTGGGGCTGAGAAGGTGACTCAGTGGTAGAGTGCTTGCCTTGCATGCATGAGGCCCTGGGTTTGATTCCTCAGTACCACATAAGTAGAAAAAGCAGGGAGTGGCGCTGTGGCTCTAGTGGTAGAGTGCTAGCCTTGAGCTGAAGAGCTGAGAGACAGCGCCCAGGCCCAGAGTTCAGGCCCCACAACCAACAACAACAACAAAAAAGAGAGTTCTCTTTTTAGATTATAGAAAAACATAAGTTGGTTATAGAAAAACTTATCATTTATTTAACACAACTAATTCAATATCTTTGTAGAATTCAGCTACAACATACTGCCATCTGATTACCAACAATTACAACTATCAGCTGGATAGTCTATTTACCTACTAAAGAAAAAGAACACCCTGTGTATGTACATGTATGTGTGTGCATACATTGTATACATGTGTGTGTGCACTTGGGGCTTCAACTCAGGGCTTGGGCACTGTCCCTGAGCTCTTCAGCTCAAGGCTAGCACTCTATCACTTTGAGCCACAGTTCTTTTTTGAGTGGTTACTTGGAGATAAGAATCTCAGAGACTTTCCTGCCTGGGGGCTGGCTTTGAACTGGGATCCTGAGTAGCTAGGATTACTGGCTTGAGCCACCAGCTCCTGGCTGTATGTCTTGTTTTTTTTTACACTCTTGGAATCCAGCAAGAATACCTTCTTAATTTAGATATTCCAATTTTATAGAACAAGGGTTCTTTTTTTTTCCTTTTCTTTTTGGGGGGTGGGGCGGGGCTGGGGACTGGGACTGAACCCAGGGCTTCCCACATGTTAAGCTTGTGTGTGGTATCTACCACTGAGCTACAGCCTCAACAAGAACAAGGATGTTCTGACCAAGGGAGTGTGCGCTGTCATACCAGCTGGAAGACGGAATGTGGTGGACGGAAGCCAAATATGCTAAATTTTTATGGGTGCGACAGTCCAGCACAGTGAACGTTCATATCCAAAATGCCAACAACGGGCTGGGGGTGCAGCAGTAGTACAGTGTGTTCCCAGCATGCACAGGTGCCAGCACCTCTGCCCCAAAGCCAACAGTGCCCTCTTTGAAACCACTGCTAAACAAGAACAAAAGATTGAGGCCAAGCTGGATGCTGGTGGCTCAGGCCGGCCTGTAATCCTAGCTAGCTACTCAGGAGGCTGAGATCTGAGGATTGAGGTTCAAAGCCAGCCTTGGGCAGGAAAGTCCATGAGATTCTTCTCTCCCATTAACTTCCAGAAAACCGGAAGTGGTACTGTGGCTCAAGTGGTAGAGCGCTTGCCTTGAGCTGGGACAGTGCCCAGGCCCAGAGTTTAAGCCCCATGACTGACAAAAAAAAAAAAAAAAATTAAAGCCAGTGTAGTGGTTCATGCCTATAATCCTTAACTTAATTGAGAGGTAAAGATTTGGAGAATTGTGGTTTGAGGCTATCCCAGGCAAAAGGTTGTGAGACTCCCCCCAATCTCAACAAATAAACTGGACAGGATACTGTTCATGGGCACCAAAGAGGTGGAACATGCAACGGAGGCCAACACTAGGGTAAAATTTGAGATCCTATCTGAAAACAATACAATGAAAAAGACCTGGACCTGGCTCAAGGGGTAGAGTTAGTGCTTGGTAAGCTCAAAGCTCTGAGTTTAACCCAAGTACCACAAAAGAAAAAAGAAGAAAGGAGGAAGGAAACTAGGTGCTTGTGGCTCAGGCCTGTAATCATAGCTACTCAGGAGGCTGAGATCTGAGGATTGCAGTTCAAAGCCAGCCCAGGTGAGGAAAGCCTGTGAGACTTTTTTTTTTTTTGGTTGGTCATGGGGCTTGAACTCTGGGCTTGGTGCTGTCCCTCAGCTCTTCAGCTCAAGGCCAGTGCTCAACTGCTTGAGCCACAGCGCCACTTCTGGTTTTCTAGTGGTTTATTGGAGATAAGATTTTCACAGACTTTCCTGCCTGGGCTGGCTTTGAACTACGATCCTCTCAGATCTCAGCCTCCTGAGTAGCTAGGATTACAGGTATGAGCCACCCGCACTCAGCCCTGAGACTCTTATCTCCAGTTAACCACCAAAAAACGGGAAGTGGTGGTATGGCTTAAGTGGTAGAGGGCTAGCCTTGAGCTGAAGAGCTGAGGGATAGCGCCCAGGCCTACAGTTCAAGCCCCACAACTGACCAAAACAAGAAAGAAAAAAAAAAAAAGAAAGAAAGGGGCTGGGAAGATAGCTCAGTGGTAGAGTGCTTGCCTTGCATGCATGAGGCCCTGGGTTTGATTCCTCAGCACCACATAAGCAAAAAAAAAAGCTGGAAGTGGCGCTGTGGCTCAAGTGGTAGAGTGCTAGCTTTGAGTTGAAGAGCTGAGGGACAGTGCCCAGGCCCTGCCCCATGACTGTCCCCGTCCCCCCCAAAAAAAAGTGAAGAGAAAAGACAAAAGGAAAGAAAAGCTGGGAGCTAGTGACTCCTGCCTGTAATCCCAGCTATTCAGGAGGCTAAGATCTGAGGATTGTAGTTCAAAGCCAGCCCAGGCAGGAACATCTGTGAGACTCTTATCTCCTCACCAGAAAATGGACTGACAAAAAAAAAAGAAAGAAAGAAAGAAAGTTATCACCAAAACAAAATGGAAACAAGAGTTTTTTCCTTTGTTGGTGTCATTGTTTTCATTTTTTCTCTTGACTGTTTATGTGTCTTCAGGAGGGTAAGGAGTGCACAGAAATGGCGGGATAAAGGATGAATAAATGCAGCAGTAGACACTATGTTGAAACTAGACACTAGACACTATGTCTATTCACTAGATACTATGTTGAAAATAAATTATACAACTTAGGGTGGGGAGAGAGGGAAAATCTGGAAGTAAGGGAAGGGGTGACATTGTCCAAAAAGAAATGCTCATTACCTGACTTATGAAACTACAACCTGTCTGTACATCACCTTCATAATAATAATAATTTTTTTTCTCAGTTGTGGGGATTGAACTCTGGGCCTGAGTGGTGTCCTTCTGCTCTTCAGCTCAAGGCAAGTGCTTTATCACGTGAGCCACAGCACTTCTTCTGGTTTTCTGGTGGTTTATTGGAGATAAGAGTCTCACAGAGTTTCCTGCCCAGGCTGGATTTGAACCACAATCCTCAGATCTCAGCCTCCTGAGTAGCTAGGATTACAGGTGTGAGCCACCAGCACCCGGCTTAATAATAAAAAATTTAAAAATACAAGAAATTCATCGCAAAAATTAAACTGTTGTTTTTACTTAATAAAGAAAGGAGCTAATCTTACTAAAAATAATGCTCTTATCAACTGCATGGTATATCTATCTTACCAAAATGAAAATCAGTTTTTAAATCTGTATTATTTAGTCATTCTTTATATCTCACTTGCTTTTCTCAGGTCTTTGGAGATTTAATTGGAGAATGAAGAATTTGTTTCACTTATCAAAAAAAATATGCCTGCAGCTAGGAATGTGGCTCAGTGGTAGAGTGCCTGCCTAGCATGCATGAAGTCCTGGGTTTGATTCCTCAGTACCACATACACAGAAAAAGCCAGAAGTGGCGCTGTGGCTCAAGTGGTAGAATGCTAGCCTTGAGCAAAAGAAGCTCAGAGATAGTGCCCCTGAGTTCAAGCCCCAGTATTGGGGGGGAAAAAGTGCCTGTTTAATTTTAGAAATTATATCAAGGAGTAAGAAACACAAATGTGAATATGTAAGTTTCACTAGACAAAGGGGATATGATATATGCTATTATATGCACATATGAAACAGTCATACTAAACTCCTATTGATTGACTGATTGATGTGGTTCTAGGTTTGAACTCAGGGCCTATTACTTACTAGGCAGGTGCTCTATTGCTAAGCAATGCAGGCCAATAAAACGTCTTTCACACCCAGTGCTAGTAGCTCACATCTAGAATCCTAGCTACTCAGGAGGCTGAGATCTGAAGATCGAAGTTCAAAGAGAGCCAGGGCAGAAAAGACTGTGAGAGTCTCATCTCCAATACAATTCTCATAAAAGACCGGAAGTGGAGCTGTGGCTCACGTGATAGAGCACTAGCCTTAAGCAAAGAGCAGCTCAGGGACAGCACCTAGGCCCTGAATTCAAGCCCCAGGACTTGGGGCGGGGAGGGGAAGTTTTTCAAGTCAAGGACTTCAGAATCTAATGGGCAAGACAAACAACAAATGACAACATAGCATGTTAGAAACATGCTTTTACAGGAGAATGTAAAACAAAATGACTAAACCTACCTTTATTATTTCAGAATATGTTTACTCTGAATAACCAGAAGTTCAACAATGTGGGAGTTCATTTTCTCACATTATCAGGAAACACAGCTGAATGCCCTGGGTCTAGCAAAATCCTTGACGCTTCTAGGATTCCATGCCTCTTTTTTCCTGGTGTTTTGTAGCCCTTCTTGGTAGGAGGCCTTCACTGCGGCAGTCAATGCATGCATACTCCAGGTAGGCAAAGGAGAAGGGCTATGGGGCAGAGCCCTTCCTGCTCATTCCTTTTTAACAGGAAGACAAGGATTTGTTTGGAAATAAAACCCAGAACACTGGTCTTATGAAGGCCGGACAGATACCATGTAGTCTGGGATATAACCTTTTTCTTGTCATATCCCTTTAGCTATACACACACACACGTGCATGTATACCCCTCTTCCCACTGTAGTAACTTCCACTTCCCACCTGCATCCTGAGATCTCATGCAGATGGGCAGAGGATGCCTGGTGGCTGTGCCCAGCAGCCTTGGCAGATTGTGTGGGAGACACCCACTGGAGTTAAGTGAAAAACAGACAGTAGAAGAAAAACAAAATGTGCAGTCACAGCTCCACAGAAACTCCTCAATCCTGC